GAGAGATGAGAGGAAGCGTCCTCCGAGAGAGCACACGGGAACCTACACGGCACCCCGAATTACGCCACTAGTGGTGCGACAAGTTGTGACCCTGAAGACTGGGAGTGAGTTGAGGGGTGCCAGAATCACACGCAGGCGAAATCGGTTTTCTGTTCTTTACTTCAGAAGTGTCAGAGGGCTACTTCACAAATTTTTTACCGAAGTCCGGAAATCGTTGCACCCCCCCGCCCCCCCCCCCCCCCCCCTTTTTTTTTTTAACGTCTTGCTTTGGGGTAATGCTTTCTCTTTATCACTCGGATGCACTACGGCGAAGCAAGAAATTTACTTCGCGGTTGCCGCTTCACTGAAGTACGCAGTGAGAAGCGCACTCAACAAAGCTAACTTACACGCCAGAGCTGACTGCAGGAACGTAAGAGATATTGCGAAAATTCCGAGTACTGTCAGTGTTTGAGAGATCAAATAGGATATCACGTTATTTGCGGATAAAATCTAAAGTTATGAAAATTCGCACAACCCTGCCCTAACGATCCGGACTTGTAGCGGGGCCTCAGCCATTATATTTTCAGTATTAAATGTAAAATAAAGTTTTGGTGCAATGCTGGCGTAAGTTCCTCACTTTTGGGCTAAATGTAGGAGGATGTACTAGCGTTTTGGCGCAGTTTGGCGCAAATGCTGCAGCAATCACATGACTGTGAACGCAACTTTCTTTTTTACCTTCTTTTGCAGTTTTTTGCAAACTCTAACACTGAAAAAAAAAAAAAAAAAGAACTCTCGCGACAAGACGGTTTGTGGCAGTCTCTGCATTGCTGTCAAAGCTAAGAGCGCCCCTGCGCTCACAGATAATGAGCGTCCCCATCATCGGTTTCAGCCCAATAGAATCTTTGCACACGCGCCGGATTACAGCCGCCATTACTGGCCTTCTCTTGTCTTACTCAGATGCCGAGCCAGTGAAATGGGCTTTGACGAGCTTCCAAAAAAGCCAATGCTGGGGAGAATGAAACATTAGGATGTGCTAGTAGACACCGCAAATCTGACGTTGTCCAAACTGGAAATTTGGAGTCGGAGAACCCTTTACAAATAAACATAAACAAATCGAAAGCTGTACTTCTTCACATCAACAGTAAATCGGTCAGACTAACGCGAGAAATATGTCGCCGCGAGATATCACCCTAAATTAAACTCCAATTGAGTTTCTGAGCCCTTTCAGGGTATTGGGAGTAATTTTTTCTGAAAATGTGTCCTGGGACATCACATTAATTTTATAATCCCTAAACTGTCACGAATAGCTGAATTGATATACCGTCGTCAATCAATTTTGCCAAAGAATGTGAAGTTACTAATCTATAATTCATTGTTTTATTCCCACTTAAATTACTGCCATCTCGTCTGGGGCTCAGCCACATATTCAATCTTTGAGAAAATACTTTTATTACAAAAAAGGGCGTTGAGGTCTATCGGTGGCGTCCCGTTTGACTCTCATACGGCTGGTCTGTTTACGGCTCTCTGCGTTATTAATATATACAACTTATGCATTTTTAAATTGGAGAGCTACAGAAACACGTGTTTTCTCACGAATTTGGGATATCTATCTGTAAAGAAACCGGTTTACCCCACTCGTCACGCAGAACATTGGGAAATGGTAGCGTCGAGGACGAATTACGGCTATCCGATGATTAGATATACGCTGCCTAAATTGCTCAACCAGTTTGATGCTAGTGAGTTGGATCTGACTAGGACGTCATTTAGGCAACTTTGAGAATATTTTGTAAACCTAGATAGGTAAAATACCAGTGATCTATCGGTTTGTTTAATATTTCCAGGATTATTCAGTCTTTTTTTTTTTTTTTATTTGTGTGTTGTGTGCGCATATTATCCACCTGTTTTGTACTTTCGCATGAAGTAGCATTTTTTCCTGTACCTCTGCTTTTGTGCCTAGGGGGTGAGGGCTTTGTCAAGCTGTATTTCAGTTCCTTCCCTCGAGCTCCACCATCAGCGTAGATGGAAATAAACGAATTATTGTAGGTAAATGAAAATAACTAGGGGTGTCGCGAACTTTTGTCGAACCGAATTTTTAGGTCGAACTTTCGGGGTTCGACTGGGTCGAACCGGTCGACGAACCTTCCAACTTTTGACCAAATTCGACCGATTCGACCACTGATCTCTATCATTGAGATCAGTGGGTTCGACTTTGTGGGCAGTGTGGCCAGACCTTAATACAAGCATGTCTAGGTTTGGAGGATTTGTTTTTTATGCAAAGGGTTATTTCAATTTTATAGACAGCTGCAACTAAGAGAAATTAATTCTAATCACTGATGAAGTCAATAACTTAATTGTTTGTACTGTATTAACTGAAATAACCAATCAGTGCTACCCTTAATTCATCCCTTAGCCGTCACCATCTAATCTGAAGCCAACTGGCCTGTCGGTCTCGCATGCGCATAGCAGTTGAACCTCAGTCGAACTTTTGTCGAACTTTTCACAAGAAGGTCGAAAAAGTCGAACCTGGTCGAGCCCGAACCTCGACCGGTTCGCGACACCCCTGGCAATAACCTGCCCTGCTGCGGTCATGTTGAAGCGAAGTAAACGTAATAAGAGGAAACGAAAATTGAAGTTCGGTTATGGCGGCGCCCAATCGAAGCGATCCTAGCGGCATTGTGCCCCGCAAGGCATTATGGGAACCCATTGGTCACCGCTTCACGATCCATCACGACCAAATACAGTGCATGCATTTTCGAATATGTGACTTTCCTTAAATTTAGAATATTAAGCTGGAGGACGTTTTCTTTGTGCTGCTGACATACCAGTGTTGGTGCGCAGGTAAACACAGCAAGAAGTTTTACTGCCGACCAATTGAGTTAGATTTCTCGGGTGAAAATAAGTACGGCTGGAATGACTGACGAAACCTCCCAAATGAAAATCAATCGCTCCAACTCAACTGATTTTCGATAGACTACTTCCAGAAATCCCTGGAAGCCACAGTGCGCGCGTTGCATTATGGGACCTCCTTGGCTATGGGGAGGAGCGGTATGGTTTTGATTTTGATTGATGAAGTATCGGATCTCAGCACTGCATGAAAATAAAGTCAGCGCTCGCTCGCATTGCACCCATTCATCACCGTGAGAGCCCCCGTTGAAACACGGGCCTCCAGCGGCCGTAACGACGGTCTAGACTTAGCAACGAGTAGGAGTACGGCCGGCCGCGTGCCAGACCTTTCTGGTGGCCCGCCTACATCGCCAGATGTGCAGCATGGCCCTCCCGGGTAAAGGACTTTGAGACGATGGAGCAAGATTATCAGCCCTGGAGGGATAGGTTGGACATTTACATGCACATTTTAGAAGGTCAAGGAAGTGACGTATTGGCGTCTGATTGGTGACCTTTTAAAGGGATGCTGAAGTATCCCTTTAAAAAGGGATACTTCAACGAAATCTGAAATATATCCGTCGTTTTCAAAAAATGGTTCAATATGATCCACAATATCCCTAAATGACAATTGCACGTTTGTATTTTGAGCCTGGTGGCTGTATTTTTTGCTATAAACGGCCCACTCTAGCAAGCGCTCGGAGAAGGACCAGCTTAGAGCACGTGACATGCGACGCAATCGTGACGTAGGTCGTCTCGGGACGAGCAAAGCTACGGCGAGGCTGACGTCGAGGGGATGGCCTAGTCGTTCCAGCCACCGAAGCGGCTGCTTTTGTACGAATTTTGAGTGACGGGTTAATCTTCTATAATCTCGTAGGAAGACAGTAGCGACTTCTGTGACACACAAAAGGGATTCTCGGGAAGACGGGAGTTCCTCCTTCCCCTTTTGTCTCGGCGTGGCCGGAGGCGAGACACTCACCGTCACTAGCTGTCAAGGTTCCTAGACGGGCATTACAAACAATGCGTTAGCGACATCCACTAGGTGCTCTTTGTTAATCGTTTAATTCGTTTTAAAATTACTTTTCGTGACTTTTTTAACAAGATATTGGTGTGTTCGATGTGATACTGCTCCTTTGAATACATAGACCATAAAATAAGCGCCGAAATTTCGTTGTAGTATCCCTTTAAAATGTGTACGTAAATGTCCAACCTAGGTGCCCTGCTCTGTGCGAAGATGCTTTTTCTACGTTCAAAACATCGCCCGTATGCTCGAAATCTTTGAGAACAAGTGTCCGATAAAAGCCACCCGGCAGAGAAAATAATAAAAAAAAGAGACACCTTTCATAGCCCTCGTCCTTTATTCTTTACTTTTTGAATGTCATTAACCGCTCGTAAAGATGCACTACATGGTCATTTTCATACTGGACACCGGAAAGCTGACGAACCTTGAACCCACTCTATATTCCTTTGGTTTGTTATTTTGCTCAGAATTGTCGTTTTTACACACCTACTGTGGAACACAGATTTGGATTTGAAATATAGCGAAGTTAAACATCGCTCACTGATGAAAAAAAAAAGATTTTTATAATGTTAATGAAGGTGATACGGTACGACCCAAATAACAAAAGTGACTGATGTCACATCGCGTACTTTTGGCCACCATGAAAGAGAGGGAGAGGGAAGCTGCTTTTGTAGGAATTTTGAGTGACGGGTTAATCTTCTATAATCTTCTGGGAGGAGAACAGTGACGTCACGACTAATCTGGGATAATATGGGAGTCACTAAACGGGGCCTTGGTAAGGGGGGAGCTACTTCCCCTCTTCTCTGGTTGCCATCGGAGCGCTCTTTGAATGACATCACGTGCAAGCGGAGAACCGCAAAAGTTGACTGGTTGTTGGTTGCTTCACTTTGTGCCACGGAATTCGCAAAGACACTAGCGCCATTTGAAACTCTAGAGGACGTTATAATAACTTTACGGCTTGGACAACTAACATATGCCACACTTTGTAACTAATATTTATTTAGTCGAAGCAACGCAGTGCTAAACTGATTGTTGCAGCACCAACCAACGATGGCCTCAACCAGACTCGAGCATGCCTCGCTCACGATTTGTGGAGCAGGAGAGCCAGTTGAGCTCACGGTTGAGCGTATGAGCCGGTTGAGCTGCCACTCGAGCAGACGAATTCCTCTTTCGTTGGTCCCCGCACCACTCGCACGATTCCGGTTTGCCGATCGCTATGCGCATCACCGCTTGTTGGGTCGTCGATCGAGTGATCGTGATCGGTGAACTACGTTGTGGTGTGGTGTGTTTGAACGTCGCCAAATACTGGAATACATGTGATACCTACACCTTCTTTCCCCTGGGATACTGAGCCGGAACAACTCTCAAGATGCCTCGTATTATGATAAAAGGCGGTGTCTGGAGGAACACAGAGGTAACGCATTTTCCCAGCGATGGTCTCTCGACTTCGTTTATACGATTAGGGTTAAACAAAATGTTTTAATTCGATCGCTTTCTCAGTTATACGAGGGAAAAGTGTTATTTCAATTAGTGTAATGTGTTTTAGAAACGTCTCTGTACCGAAAATATTCAGCGTTATAAAAGTGGTGACGGTTTTGTGTGCGGCTAGAGCGGTTGACTTCTCAAACCAGAGTATTTTTGGACACATCGCAACAGCAGGAGGAGACCAACATTTGATCATTTCATTGCTTACTGCCATGGTTTGTTGCAGCATTACTGCAGAAATGATCAACCTTCTGTTATTACGAGTCAATGTATCACCGAATTCTCGTTGTAATTGCAGGATGAAATCCTCAAAGCGGCGGTGATGAAATATGGCAAAAATCAGTGGTCCAGAATCGCGTCACTGCTTCATAGGAAGTCGGCGAAGCAGTGCAAAGCAAGATGGTAAGCTCACCACAGAAATGAACGATGCGGCGATCATAACAGAACTCACACCTGTTACGATAAACCAACTGAAGTTTGTCTCGCATTTGGACCTCGCTGCTTTTACGGCATCTGTGTAGTATGGTGCTTCGCTAAGCTTGACTTTACAATCAGAATGCACAATTAATTTTTTTGTCACATACTTTCATGACATTATATAGCGCAACATTACAACCGCTTGTTTTTACTGCACCTTGTAAAAAAAAGGAACATGTACATTCCTTAATTTTTGTCAGTCAACTGATTGCATCTCTCTCTTGTAATCATTCCGGACTGTGAAAGCGCTCTCTCGACATTTGCACTTAGACAAGAAAACTCACGATGTTCAGCGCCATGCCAGACAGACATGGCCAGTCGAACAAGTGACATTTCCGTGATTACATCAATTGCCTTTGTAGAGCATACCAATGTACTGGAAAACTTGTTTTCCGAAGTTTTGAGTGGACTCCTGTCACACGGAAAGGCATTGTCACTGTCATTGTATGATGTTTGACAGATCAGCCACTCCGCGCACGCCACTCTTCGTGCAGTGCGTTCCACTTGTAACGCTTGTGATCGGGATTGCGAGCTGATTTGCCGATTGCACAAACACAATTTAATGGAAATTATATTAACTTTACCCGTGTGACAGAGGTATTAGTGGTGCACACAACAATGCTAAAGACAAGTCTGTACAAATCGAAATCCTGCGAAAGCTCGGAGTTTAGTTTCTGGTTCGGAATGCAACCTTAAATCAGAAGAGGCTTGAATCGTTTTTGCGGTGTATCTAGTATGTTCTGAGCTGGTGTGCCATTTATCAACGAACCTTTGTTTGTATGTAGGAAACAACTACTCAAGGATGTTGCAGTGTGGCTCACTGGTTAAACCAAGCGTGCCATTTTTCTCAACACAGTAATCTCACTTTTCGACATTGTTTTTATTTTTAAATAACCATTCTAAGGTGAATCACAAAAAGGACATACTTATCAAAATTGAGTCTTCTCAAGCTACTAAATAGTGACTAAATATTGTTCAAAGGTTAAAGAAAACCAGTCCAGGCTCGCACATCAGTCTAAGGCTTAATTTACCCTGACCTTGTTTTCTTGTACACCTTATATTTCCGCGAAATAGTGTTCTCCCTTGCCTTGGCAACCGTACAGGCTGCCATAATATTGTAAGATGCAATTAATTAATCTGACTCAGGCATATGCTGTATGGCAGTAATAGTTGGCATTAGCTAAATGACAAGCGCCGAAGTCCTTCAGTTGACATCTATGGTTGTTGTTTAAGACAGGCTTATTCTGCTTGCAAAAGAAATGTGGCACACACTCCTCTATTAATGTGCAACTGCATTTTCTGAAGCTTGTTTTGACATATAACTTGCCTGCTGGTACGTGCTTTTGTGCCCACCCGTGCGCTCGACGGGGCACCCGCTTGTGCGCGACCGCTGCGCAGGTACGAGTGGCTGGACCCGAGCATCAAGAAGACGGAGTGGGCGCGGGAGGAGGAGGAGAAGCTGCTGCACCTGGCCAAGCTGATGCCCACCCAGTGGAGGACCATTGCCCCCATCATCGGCCGCACCGCCGCCCAGTGCCTCGAGCACTACGAGTACCTCCTGTGAGTAACTGCTCATCTGCCGTTAAGACGGCCGGGCCCGCGCGACTTTCGTCTTCGAAGCAGAGATGACTGAGATTTGTATAGAAATTTGCTGGGCTCATTACTTCCTCCCTGGAATGCCTACTATATTTAGTAAGGAACTTCAACATCTTTGGTTGCTATTATGGTGCCTGGAATGTGCCTTCGACTGGCGTGTTTAGCGTCCTATACTCCATGTGTGTCGAAAGGTGTCGCGAAGTGGCAAGAAGTTATGTCACGGAAGCTGGCATATCATCCTGTCGGAAATCGCGATCCTGGCGGTTGGTCGTAGAAGTTCCGCCAAAAAAGACAAAGGAACGCGAGTGTCGCCGTCATCGCAGCCCCCAAGGGCCACTGAAACTCCCACAAACTGTCAGGCTGGAGAGCGGCCTACCACAAAACAGGCACCTGCTGTATCCACCTCTGCCGCTATACTGCCGCCAGGATCGCCACCGGCAACAAAACAGCACGAGCGTGACGTCATCGGGTGAAAATTGAGGGACTACGGATGAGGACGCGGTAGGCAGACCGAGTCGGAGACGTGTTCTAGGCGCCAAAGCTTCAATGAACTGCCGTCTTTATTATGGAACAGCTAAGGTACCCTCCCTGGCCATATGACCTGCAACACTTGGTTTGACCTTTATTATGCTTGCGGTCACAAGCACTATTAATTGCGTAGCGTTTCTAGGGCCCGCCCTTAGCGTTTTTATGTCCGAACCTGGGATGTAGCCTCGGCAGGGTGTGCAGCAAGGAGCCTGCAGTCGCTGATTCCGTGCTCAGTGTGCTGTTGGCAACTGTTTTTGAGTGGGGACTTTACCCAGTGTGCGCTCGGTGCAGTAAAGCGAACTACGATTATAAAGTTTCTTGCTTGCAACCTTAGTGTGCCGCTAAAGCAGTGGAAAAACAATGATGAGCTTGCGCAGCAAGGTGAAGAGGGCGGAGCAAAAGACACGGCTAAAAAACGAGAGCACAGGAGTGAAAGGAATCCATCGCCATTATAGACCGACACACGGAGCGGCTCTGTTTACCAACACGGCCGGGAGGCCGTGCATGCGCGGCCTTTTGGTGGTCAGGCTTTCCTTGTTTTCGCCGTGTGGCGTGCGCTCGTTGTTGACGTTGTAGGGACACTTCTAGCTTTATTTGTGCGTCGTATTTCGTGAGAACGTAAGTCGTATGTTATGCCCGATTATTTGATTTCGCTACCCGAGCCTGAACGGTAGCGGTATCGAGACAAACTGCGCGTGGACGGTGTTGCCTTCGACAATCCGTCCGCCGTAAACAAGGACTGCTGGACTTATGACATGAAGTTGCTGCCAAATACAACGATGGCTCACGTCGTCGTTTGTTTAGTTTTTTCGCCAAGCCAGTTCACGGCCGACACGGTGCAGGCGTTGAAGTCTCTTGAGGCGTACGATTACTTCGAGCCGGTTTCCTTGCTGCCAATCTGGAGGTGTATTTCTTAATTGATTAAATACACACAGCATCTTCAAGTCAAGGTATGATACTTTTCCTACCCTCATGACCACAAGGCATGACGGTAACACTTTGTCCGTTCTGCAGTCTTGGTGGGAACACGTTACAAGTAACGCCGTTGCCGGTAACGCATAACTTTTTTCAGTAACGTAGTAACCTACCCGTTACTTTTTGGGCACAGTAACGGGTAACATACTTATGTTACTCTTTCAAGTAACATAGTTACGTTAGTCGTTACTACTTCTTCCCAAGTCTTAAAGAAATTACACTTCAACTTTTTCCGTGTTTTTACGCGTCAAGCCATGTGAATTTCTGAGTTTTCTGCGTTTTTTCTCTAGAGTATTTAGGTGAAACCGTAAAAAGAGATAAAGTAATTATGTTCAGTTTCTGCATGAACAAAATGTTTCTTGATATATGAGCTTATGCATACGTATACAATCAGAATAGTGAAACGTGTTAAATCATAATTTAGAAAGTGATGCAGAAGTAACATGCGTTACTTTTTATCGGTAGCGGTAACGCGTTCCTTTTATTTTGAGGTAACGTAGGTCAATAACGCGTTCCTTTTATTTGCAAGTAGTGAGTAACGTATTTCGTGACTTTTTTTGGTAACGCCTGCAACACTGCCGTTTTCCCCTTCCGCTTGGTAGCACGGGCGTAGCGAGCCTCCGACGTGCGCTTGGCCGGTGCTTTGTGCGCGAACACCGGGGAACAAAATCTGGGTGGTCTCGATCAAATGACGGTTTCCCTGCACATACGCAAGCCTCGGGACAGAAATTGAGATGGAAGCCACATTTGGCCTCCAAGAAAGTGCTTGCCGATCAAACGGTCGTCCGCACGAGGCAACCATTATTTTCGATCCATGGATATTATCCACCTTCTGCGCCTTTCAGAGTCTGCCAGAAACTTGTGGAAACTCATTCCTCTACTTTTTCTGTAGCTTTTGGTGCAATTAACGGCAACACAGCTTTGCGGCATGCTGAAATGCTATGACGCCCATGCAAAACGTGCGCCCTTCTGCCCACACCACCCGGCTTCGGCGTGATCGCAGCGCCGCCGCAGCTCCGTAACGTCAAGCCCGCGTGTCGGTCTATACGTCGGTCGACCGGCCAGCTAGGCGCCAGTTCACAGATAATGTTTCCGGTGCGATGTGTAATATGTGTGTCTGACTGTTTTCAGGTGGATGTGAGCAAAGGTGTTCTAAATGCTGCACATTAAGAATGCTTTTGGGAGTTGCCAAAGAGACAGCCAATTTTTATTTCTTGATTTGTCATGAAGTTTAGAGATATAAACCTGAACTTTGTGTTTCAGCCCTAGACTGAATTAGAGCTTCGTTAAACACTAGAACATATGCCAAGGCAGCGTGGCAGGCTCCTCATGCTTGCATTGTCTGTGATATTACCTCTTCCACTTGCACAAGGTTTTTGCAGGGTACACGGCTTTGAGAATAAAAAAATGTGGTCTTGAAAAAAAGGAGAAACCTGCTTAGGCTATTAGCCATGTTATGCTTCTCAGACACCTCATATTGGTGTTTTACAAGCAAGGGGAGGGATAGGTGAAAGAGGAAGTGAAGCGAGAAAGATAAAGATTGAACATGCATTCCATGGAAACAAGCTACCATGACCTATTTTCCAGACTGTTTCTCGCATGATGACAGTTAGTCCAATTCATTGCTTGTTTTTTCTTGCTCCTTCCATTGTCAGCTTTTGAACGATGGTGTCCCAATTGTGCAGGGACCAAGCGCAAAAGAAGGAGGAAGATGGGGAGATTCTTGACGACCCTCGTAAACTGAAGCCTGGAGAGATTGATCCTAACCCAGAGACAAAGCCAGCGCGCCCTGATCCTAAAGACATGGACGAAGATGGTGAGAATCCTTAGGCATCCTTAGAGCCCTTTGAGTCGTACAGTGATATCGGTGATAAATATCTAAACCTTTAATATTTTGTATTAGCTTTGATCCAAATATATCTTTTCATTGATGCCAAACATGACCTCATTACTTGGGTCTTGGCTTTTGATGAGCACCTTTATTATTTGCTGATTTCAGGCTCTCTGGCTACATTACATCAACAGTTACATGTAAAGGCCCGTTCACACACTTGCGATTTCTTGAGACCGGGTGCCTTGGAACCTCTTAATGTCTCTTACACAAGAGGACACACTTGCGCCATCTATTGGGTAGCAGTGTAAACTTGGCAGTCTGGCATATTTTCTATTTCTCTCGTGCATTATCCTTTCTTTCTTGGCTCGAAAAACTTTCATCAACGTTATAAATGAGCCTTTCTTATAGGTTTTATGCACACTTGACCTCGGAAATCCCGCAAAACCTTCGCTCTTGTGATATGCAGTTCCAGGGTCATTGCATAGATGGTGCCAGAGTGCCAGTGTGTTCTCTTGTCCTAAGGAATTTTAAGAAGTTTCAACGGGTCTCGTCTCTCTCGGTCGTACTCGGTCGCAAGAGTGTGAACGGGCCTTAAAACTGGTTATTTTATGTTTTGTCCTCTGAGGACAGTTTTGCAGTGGACCTTTTCTTAATTATTAGTGACGTCTGATGGCCTGTTTGGAAACTATACATGCAGGAGTGTGTTGGAAACACACCACAGTGTCTGCTCTCATTGCTTTTATTGCCCCTCTGTCTTTCTTTGTTGTTTTCTTTAAATTTCCTTGTGCCTATTTTTTGTGGGGAATCCTAGCAGAATTTAGGTGCTTGTGAATTTGAGTTTTTCCTGCAAATGCTACCCTTCCTCCCCAGTCAACGTACTATGCTTCTTAGCATAGATGGCATCCATGGGCATGCCATTTGGGATCAGAGCTGTGGGTGACAAAAGATTAAAATATAATCGCCGAGTGCTTTTTCAAACTCTGTAGAGATTGGGCAGTTGTGCTCATGATCAAGCAGTTAAAAAAAAACAAATTTAGTGTAATTATTACATTTTTCTGAAACTTTCCACTTGTTTGAGTGTTGCAAGTTTCCTCTTCATTGTCATTGTGTCATATTTGCCTCATTTTGCCAGGACCTTTGTTGGCATAATTTAACACTGCTTGGAGACAATGTTCAGCCAACCAGGGTCAGCAAAAAGCACTTGATTTCACAAGAGCAGGAGCTCGACGGTAAATGGCAATGGGGAGCTGTCGAAAAAGACAAATGAACTGGCTAAGCCATGTCTGAAGATGTCGCTTGTACAGTGTGGTTTCCTATGAAAAGGTAGCAGAGAAGGCTCGTTGCAAAAAACGTGAGCATAGCCGAAGCTATTGGAGAGAGCTCCGGGCTTTCATTGTCTTTGCCAAAGTGTTCTTGGAGTGCAAACATTGTTTGGGGCAACATGCTTCTGCTTGCATCTTTGACTTTGCTCAAATACCTAAAGTGGAGCAAACTATATTTGTTGATGCTTTTGTTGAACCATGCAAAAGAAGCATGTTCCCTGCATAAGTTGCTCATGATTAAGGAATCACTAACAAGTAGGCGTAGACTTTTCAGTTTTGATCTATAAACATCCATCTGTATCAAAAATGTAAAATTGGTTAAAACCCCAAAACACAGATTTTTTAAACTTATTACTCCACCTAGGATTGTTTTTTTCAAAATCTCTTTGACTGAAATTCTTAATTTTTCGTGATTTTTTTTACCAGTTTTTTGCGTCCATCCGAAGCAGATCACTGCTATACATTGATATCTTAAAAATAAATAAACACCGAAAGGCATTCATCGATTTCCCTTATAAACAGACGTCGTAAAATCTACCGACTACTGATACGCAACCTTCCAAGAAGCATCGTTTTCATTCTTTCGCGGGCTAAATATTGGGACCTTCATTTCAATTAGCGGCGGTTGAAGGGCTAATTTGGGTTCTTTTCCCGACCCCTCTGGCCAGAGCTGGAGATGTTGTCGGAGGCCCGTGCCCGACTGGCCAACACGCAGGGCAAGAAGGCCAAGCGCAAGGCGCGGGAGAAGCAGCTGGAAGAGGCCCGGCGGCTGGCGGCCCTGCAGAAGCGGCGGGAGCTGCGCATGGCGGGCATCAGCCTGCCGCCCCGCCGTCGCAAGCGCCATGCCATCGACTACAACAAGGAGATCCCGTTCGAGAAGCGGCCCGCACCAGGGCTGCACGACACCTCCGATGAAGTGTACGACCCCACCGAGACAGACTTCCGCCGCCTGCGCCAGCAGCACCTCGAGGGCGAGCTGCGCTCGGAGAAGGAAGAGGTGAGAACGTGCGTCGTGCCGGGTTGGCCCGTCGTTCAATTACTCTAGCCTATTTTTTTTTAAACGGCAGGGAATGTCAGTTGACATCACCGAATCTTGGACATGGAAGGATAAGAAAGGCACGTAAAAAGAGAGACGACACACAGTTGTCTTCCTTACCCTTCCCCGTCTCAGGTTCAGCCATGTCGGATATACACCAGCTGGACTCACTCTTCTTTGACTGCTTGTCAATCACTTCCAACAACTAACATGAGCAAGTGACGTGCGCAAACAACAATAATCTTAACGAGCCCTCACTTGCTGTCGACTGGTCGGTGATAGGCTAAGAATGCGGTGAAAGCCCTGCCTCCAGCTCAAGCTTTCTACCATCGATATAACACTTCGGCGTCCTGTCAGCGTGTAAAGCCAAGGCGGGAATGAAGGCAACAAGGCCGTGCTAGAGGCAGAGCTTCTACTGCGTTCTTAACTTGTCCCTGACTCTAGAGTTGTCCCTCATGTGGGATGTTTCTAGCTTTTTTATTATCTCCGAAAAGTGTGCTGTAAACATTGCATCCTGGCCTATACGGTCGCATAGCTAAAAATTGCAATTCCAGGCGCACAGGTGCCGGCTCATTTGTTATGTGCTGCAGATTCGGGCCTTCAATTGGTGCATACTAAGAAGTTGGGGGGAGTATTTTTTTGGTTGATTTCAGTAAGGTGTTTTCAAACCTTTCGGTCTTGAAGTAGCCCTTGCCATTTCAAGAGGTGGGTGGAGAACCTCCCGTTCCAACGTTCATATGGCACGACAGTTCTTAAGGTTCCAGAGTTCGTTGACAATGCTACGTTCATTGAGGAGAAAGGTGGAAGCGTTTGACTCAAAGCGGAATATTAATATGTGGCCCAGGGTGCGCTTCACATTCTTCGCCCAGTCTAGGGTGTCTAAAGAAAAGGCTAAACTTATACCAGCTCACCTGCACCGTAACCGTTTTACAATGTTTGCTATTCCCCTTAATTATTATAATCTTTATTCAACCCCGAGGGCTGCAACACCGCAGAAAGGCCATGGGCCTCTACCCGAGTCCACGCCTGACACCGTACACCGTAACCCTCTCCTCCCCGCACAGCGCGAGCGCCGCAAGGACAAACAGAAGCTGAAGCAGCGCAAGGAGAACGACCTGCCCCCCGCCCTGCTATCGGGCAGCAGCGAGCCCGCGCGCAAGCGGAGCAAGCTTGTGCTGCCGGAGCCCCAGATCTCGGAGTCTGAGCTGGAGCAGGTGGTGAAGCTGGGCAAGGCAAGCGAGACCGCTCGGGAGGCCGCCGAGGAATCCGGCCACAAGGCCTCAGAGCCCCTGCTGGCAGACTACAGTCTGACCCCAGGGGGAGCGGGGCCCCTGAGGACCCCCAAGGGACCCTCCCTCAGCAGGGACACCATCCTCATGGTGAGGGAGGCAGTTTTCGGGTGTCCTCGATGCTCCCCACAGCTCAGCGCCCGACACTTCCGGAGAGTGATTTATTATGTTTGTACAAAGCACTAGAATGTCTGGTGTTAATACACCACCCAAGAATGTTTTTGCTGGGGAGTCGCATGTTTCCGGAGAAGTCTCCAACTGCGACATCAGATACTTCGAGAGTCGCCGTAGTCACTCGGGTTGTTTCACTCCCTGCTACTGTGCATTTGAGTTTTCTCTAAACTAACATGTTTTCGGTCTCTCGGTGCTCATGAAAATTATATTTGGTGGGAAAGTAATATTTTTCCTGTGGAATGATAAAACGGATTTTTAGTCACTGATATTTTTTCTTGATTATTAGGTCTATATATGTCTTGTTTCTGTCAGAATCTAGGCATGCATAGTAAGTTCTACCTTCTCAATGACTTCTACTGCCTCGGAACCTGTCTTATCTTTTTTTCAAACACAACTTCAAACCTTTACCTCTCTTGGTTTGCCTGAGCAGTTAAAAGAAATATATAAGGAGTTTAATTGAGTAGTCTTCAACAAAAAATTAAATTATAAAACAAGGCCACACTAGATTTTAACATCACCATTGTATAAGGAAGGAAGCATTTTAGTTCCTATCTGGTGCCGTAGAATTCAGAATGACAACAGCTCTGTGAGAATTATACAGTGAAACTCTTTTAACATAACCAGCTATTCCTGGAAAGACAGCGTGGGAAAATATAATTAATTTAACTCCCTAACTTTTCTTCCTAGATCTAGATACTGTCGCCATCAGAGTAAACTACTCCAGAACTGTAGAAACTTTTTCAAAATTGAAGCCCTCAAGAGATAATTACCTACCTACATATATATTCAGGCTGCTAGAATTTTTTTCTGGTAAGGAAGCACCAGTACAAAGTTTGTAACTACGCATACCTGCATGGCAATCTCTTTTAATATGTGCTGGGATTAAAAAGTAATGCTTTAAGGGGGCACACCCACTAGGGGGGTCAACTTTTGAACCCTTGTCTTAAAATTAATGAAATTTACAGGGTAGGCTGGTGGTCATGCTAGAGGGTGTATAACAAAATTTCAGGTTTGTCGGTTAAATGAGAAGGAAATAAGAGTAGCTTCTATCAGCAACACGCCTACGTTGTTTAGTTAATCTATCGTTAGAAAACTATTGCGATATTAAAGATTTTTATTTGCTAGATACGTAGGAGAATGCCTAGAGGGTGCGGCTATGGAATATTTTTTCTAAAAAGTAATTCACTTCTATAAATTTTCTCTTCTGCAAAATTGGTCAACTTTTTGGTCTTCTGTGTCTTCGACAACATGTCGAAATTTTTTACAAAAGACATCCATAAAGTGACAAAAAAGTTCCATAGCCGCACTCCTTATTAAATTTCAGTCAGGAAAAGGGAAGAATGAGCTTTCCCTGTTTTGCCATTATCAAACGATAGATTGAGTAAAATGGAATTTATACCAAAAACTGGAACGGAGAAAAATGTGTTCAAAGTGCTCCAAACCCTACTTTTTCTATAGCTTTGGTGGACAGAAAATAATTTATAAAAAATTAAATATACAGTGAAAATTAATGAAACTTTTTGGGAACACTCCCTAGATGTTGGTGGATGTAAAGATGTCATTTTTCAAAATCAACTTTTTTTGCAGAATTTTTTTATTTCTGGGCAGTGTCTCCCCTAAAGGACACATGCAAAGGAAAAAAACATTTTTTTTTTAAACAGCTTAGATGGAAAAAGTATGTCATAAAATGATTTTACGACAAAGCAAAAAATTTTTTTAGAGCTATATTTACAGCGCTACACGAATTTGTAGTTGGCGCCCGTGGGTGCTGCAAAAAAGTGGCCCTTATTTATCACGTGACTGGCCCTTATTTATCACGTGGTGCTTGCGCTCTTTCGGAAGCTTCCTATGGCATCTAAAAGTAACTTATTCATCTTTGTTTGAAGTATAACAAAAAACTAAGATTAATAAGTAACTTTTAGAGCCCAAAGGAAACTCCTGAAAAACTGCAAGCAGACATGATAGATCTGTGCGCCAGTCAGACGGCGGCGTTGGCGCCCCGAACGAAGCAAACGAACTTGTGCGGCAACGGCGGCGTGGAGAAACGCGTTGAAGCGGCGTCGCACAACGCTCGGCGTGCAGCGGCCGCGTGACTTTGCGGCCGCGCGACGCAGCGCGGCGGCGCGCGGGCCTACCACATGACCAGCGGCAGCTCCCACGGGCCCCAACTACAAATTCGTTTCGCGCCGTAAATATAGCTCTAAATTTTTTTTTCTTCGTTGTAAATTTGTTTTATAATATTCTTTTTCCATCTAGCCTGTTTAAAAAAAAAGTTTTTTTCCTTTGCATGTGTCCTTTAAGGGGAAACACTGGTCTTGAAACTTTCTTATTTTTTGGCCAAGCCTAATGAATCAGCACAGGCTTGTTCAGAATTTTGTGCTGATATCAAATATTTGTTATATTTTCTTAAATTGATATTTTAGTTCTCAAACTACTTATAATTCACAAGCCTTCATTTTCAAAAACAATGTTAGAAAACCATATTTATAAAAGAAGGAGCAGTGTGGTGAGTTGGGCCAGTTGGTGTTGATACAACATGATGATAAACAGCACACAAAGGACAGGACAACAGGAGAGAAACACACAGAACACAGAAGTGCTGACAATATCAGTTGTGAGTCAGCGCTTACATGTTCTATGGTGCACTGTTTTTCACAGCTGAGCTGGGCCAGTTTCCCCAGGATCGTATCCGGTACCAAACAAATGTCGACACAACACTCTGGTTGCTGCCGTCGCTCATAGATGGCAGCAAACTTTCCAGCCTCGGGAACCAGACAACTGGTTGCCGCCGTCGCTCATAAATGGCGGCAACATTTCTTCGGAGGAAGAAGAGCGGGAACGGAACGAGCGGCGATGTGCGCAGCAGCGCGAATGGTTCCGCAATCGCCGCGAGGCCGCTATTGCCTAAAGTTCCACTGCGTCGAGCGCTTCAGATTCCCTTGCGAAAGAAGAGCAGACTGCTCGCCTGCAAAGCCACCGCCGAGAATAGAAGCTACAGCTCCGCTGCTTTTCCTTCTTCACCAGAGTGGAAGGCTGAAAGTTTTTATCATGTTGGAAGCACTTTCTAGATCAAATCATTATAAGTGACTTTACAACACATTGAAGTTGAGTGCTTTATCTGTGGCTACCAAGCAATAAAACAATAGTTCACTTAAAAATTTTCCTATACCTATATTGACCAATTTTTTCAATACTAAATGCTTTTTACATTGAGCTACAGATTGCTAAAAAGTTATTCAGTAAACTCTCACTTGAGCCAATATCGGTTTAACAAATATTTCAGAATAATGAACTTTAAAAAATCCCTGGTGATTTTCCTATGCATTTTATGTAAAAATGTTTCAGTTAAACGAAAAAAGAATTTCGAATTAGCAAATATTTCAGCTCAACGAACTGGATCGGTTGACCCAGGATTAATTTTGCAATCAGTTCAACAAAGTTTTGTGCTCTACAGTGCTGGCGTAGCCAATACCCGCCGCCCCGCCGCCGCCACCTCTGCAGCGGTGGTGTATCAGTGCTGACATTTACAGCGCCGCCAAGGCAAACCGGCGGTGCAGTAGATGAAAACAAACCATCTGATGTGTCTTTTTTTCTTGTCATCGGTTCCGTTTGGCCATCTTAGTTTTGGGTAACAACGGCAGGACGGCAGTTTTTGTGCTTACTTTCGTAATGAGCATGACGAAACAAAAGCGGTTGTCTCTATTTGACAAGCTCATAATCCTTGAGTGTCTGGACAACGGTTAAAGGCAAGTGGATGTTGCGAAGGACCATGGGATTCCACCGTCGACGTTGTGAACGATAGTGAAACAGAAGTTGAAGTTTGAAGGAGAAACTGCGTTCAATCCCAACAGGAAACAACTGTGCACAGGTTATTTTAAGCCAGTGGACAACTCCATTGCTGAATGGCTTCATCACAGCAACAAGCTGTGCCAGAGGAAGTGCAAAAAACATAGACTCTCTGCACAGCTTTGTCACTTCACGCACTTTAAAGGAGACATGCAAAGGAAAAAAACATTTTTTTAAACAGCTTAGATGGAAAAAGGATGTCATAAAACAATTTTACAGCGAAAAAAAAAAAAATTTTTAGAGCTATATTTACGGCACTATATGAATTTGTAGTTGGTGCCCGCGGGAGCCGCCACTGGTCATGTGGTAGGCCCGCGCGCAGCCGCCACAAAGTCACGCTGCCGCCGCACGCTGAGCGTTGTGCAAACGCCGCTTCAACGTGTTTCTCCACGCCGCTGTCGCCGCCGCCGCACAAGTTTGTCTGCTTCGGGGCGCCGCCGCCGTCGTCTGACCGGCGCACAGGTTTATCACGTCTTCTTGCGCTTTTTCAGGAGTTTTCTTTGGGCTCTAAAAGTTATCTATTAATCTTAGTTTTTTGTTATACTTCAGACAAAGATGGATAAGTTACTTTTAGATGCGATACGAAGCTTCCGAAAGAGCGCAAGCACCACTTGATAAATAAGGGCCAGTCATGCGATAAATAAAAGCCACTTTTCCGCGGCGGCGGCAGGTGCCAACTATAAATTCGTATAAGGAGTATTCACTGGGCGCCATATTTGTGGGTGATGTCTAGAGCGCATGCTCTGAACGGGCCCACATTAATAGGCTGCTACGACCGGCAATCTTGAGGGTGTGGAATGCACGTTACAAAAGAACTAGAAGCTAGCCATCAGCACGCGCTCAGCAGTCGTGCACACAGCTATGGCCGCCAGCGAAATTTTCCTATAGCGCCGTAAATATAGCTCTAAAAATTTGTTTTCTTCGTTGTATTATTGTTTTATGACATCCTTTTTCCATCTAATCTGTTTAAAAAAAAGTGTTTTTTTTCTTTGCACGTGTCCTTTAAGAGCGCTGGTGCAAATGAAAATTACAGATTTTTTTTAAAAATGAGAAAGCCAGCGACATAACTTTTATGCACTTTGTATATATCGATGTATGTGACTCCTTAAATTGCATTTCACACTTTTGACTAAACGTATGCTGTGCCCTATGCTGTTCCATATTCTAGTGAATATATTCAGTTTAATGAACTTTCAGTTAAGTGAACAATTTCCTTGGGTTCTTTGAAGTTTGCTCAAGTGAGGGTTTACTGTACTCCTGTTTGCCCCAGATGCTGAGATACCCCTCTTTAAAATTTGTAAGAAGTCAAAAATTTTTGTTTTGAGAAAGTGTTGTTTTAGCATCAGCTTCAGTGAAATTTCAGCTCACACAGATATTATAAAGTGATTTTATAACTCAAATATTAATCTTAAAATTAAGAAACTTGGCAGATCAAAAGAAAAATAACTGTAGATTTCAAAACGCCATTAGAAAAAAAAAAAGGTTTTAAGGGATTCTTTTACTGCGAGGACCCATGTTTCTCCTTAAAGGGCAACTCCGCTTCATTTTCGATGCTGAAAAAACAACGCAGTTCTCTTTAGTATCACCTAGAAAGACTACACGTCAAGTTTTATGACGTAATTAAGCTTAAAAGTTTGTTAAACTGGTAAACAAAGTTTAAGATGCCTCAAGTCTCCGAAATCTGCTAATTCTAGCGGCCGATATGTGGCGCAGAGAACAACGCAGTCAATACCGCGTTTTGGCGCAGCCAACACTGCGCCGCACGTCATAGTCTGGGACCGCTTTTTTTCTTGTTTTTTACTTTATTGAGGTGCAGCCTACAGGCGGCGCCAGCAGCATGCATACCGATGTCCACGTGATCCAAAACGCGCATGCGCTAATGAGCGTCTGAGCGAGCGCTCCGCGCTCGTCGTCGGGAAGACCGAACTTGCTGCGTCTCGTAGCAACGTTTTGTGCTGCGATGCCTGGCATATTCCGAGTGGTTTACTTAACTTCAACTACTAATGGTTCCAAAACATAACTTTAAAACAACTTGCTTTTTTCTGCGTCAAAACACTCTGCGGCCACGGTAGTGCACACGTCGTTGGATAGCAGAGACCGTGGAGCAGACGACACGGCGCGACGACGCTTGCTCCGCCGATCCGTTCGTCCGCGCGGTCGGCAAGGTCGTGCGGTGACGTTCGTACCACGTGGGTTGTCCCAGACTAAGACGACGCGGGACCAATGTTGCCAGGCGCGGGCGCAGTTTCGGTTTCGGTTCGCGATCAGGAGTAAAGAAGGATTACGAGGATTATATTTCCTTTTTTGAGAAACAAACGACGTCGAGCCGTTTTATTAGTATACCTTAATGTATAATCACCGAAAACCCCGAAATTCCTGGAATTGAGCGGAGTTGTCCTTTAACAACCCTTTTTGTTAGTCTGCAAGCGGCTTCATATACAGGTATACAGAAGCTGCAAAATCTGACGTTATGAAGCCACAAACCAGGAAGTGAAGGAGGCATTGCTGCGGAACACAAACTCCCCGTAGCCTTCAAAAACTACAGGGGGATTGGCTTAAAGTATACACTGTGCTATCTGTGGTGCGTGTCGGACTCTTGAACTTGGGTTTGCTCGGGGCGATGCAGGAGGCCCAGAACATCATGGCCCTGACCAATGTGGACACTCCGCTCAAGGGCGGCCTCAACACTCCACTTCATGAGACAGAAATCGGTGTCGCCACACCCAAGAAGGCCGGCACCATGACCCCCAACAACCTCATCGTTACCCCATTCCGGACACCAGGTGGCACTTTGGAGGGTGAGAAGCTGCTCTATGAAATTGCTGCCTTGTTTAGGGCTCTTCAAGATAATGCTTTGCAATTTTTGTGCATGCTTAAAGCCAAGCTTCGCCCTATACAGTCTAAGCTCGTTATAACAGACCTTGATTTTGACCAAGATTTCGGTCTGTCGTAAAAGGAGTATGTTGTATGCAGGTATGAAGTTGAGTCAATGGTGCATAGATGAAAAGGAACCAAACTTCACAAATCGGTATGTTATATCCAAATGTCTCTTGTAACCAGGTCTGTTATAATGAGCTTAGACTGTATACCACAGTTCAAAGGACCGATCTTACCTGGGCTTTGAACTTCGAATGTTGGGGTGCACTATTTTAAACAAGAAGTAAGATATAGCACAGTAATTTAGACATGCCTAATCTGGCTTGCACTCGTGAAACTTTAGACAGTAGTATGACAGTAGAGTGTTGTCAATCTAGAGCCAGTTATTATCAGTACAGTCGAATCTTGTTAGTTCAAACTTGCGGATAATTCAAACTAACATGCAGGTCCCATCCTATGCATCTCTATGGGAGGAAACTCCCGTTAATTAAACTTTGCTTTATTCAAACACAGTTTCGGTCCCTCTCGGGATTGAATTAACAAAATTCGACTGTAAACTCTTACTACTCCTTACAGAAACTTCTGTTTACTATTCAAAACAGGCAGATTAATTAACCATACTGATCAAATGGGAATAAAGGTTAGAAAGCCGTAAAAAAACTAAATTTGGTTGAGCAACGAGTATAGGTAGTAGCCTTGACTTGCGGACATTTTACTCCTAAAAAAAGTTTCCCATAGTTGTAGTGGTGTGAAAAGAAATCAATATGTTAGTATGATGTTGGTTAAATCTCTTCAAGGGTATTGTCCCATTGTTGAGGTAGGTGTTTGGAGGTCTCGTGGTAAAGTGTAGGCCCCACACTCTACGTTGCATCATTGCCCTCACTCTGAACTAGACAAGATTAGGGTTTATTACTGATCTATTGACTATGCGATACTTCATCGCCAGAAATCTCCCCATGGCATCAACGAGTATGTTCATATGTTCTGTGCTGCTCTGCTGTTTTCTCACAGTGCACATGACAAATGACGAGAACTGCTCTCTACAACTGCATGTCACAGAGCCCCGACTTTACTTTTGGCATTGGCTGTAGTGCACATTGTAGCCATCATCGTGCCGTTGCAGGCACGACTCCGAGAGGAGGCCGCACTCCCGGAAGCATCCCTGGGAGCACCCCGCTGTCCAGTGCCACTCCTTTGAGGGACAAACTCAACATTAACCCCGAGGACCACCTGGATTTCGACACCAACCAGTCGGCCAAGCAGTTCCAGGTGGGCCCTCGATCATACTCGTCGTAAATGCCCTTCCGTGTTTCAAGGCAGAGAGTCAGTGCCAAACACCTGTACTGGTCAAGTTTGTGCCTCGAAGCAAGCTGTAAGAATGCTCAATTTTGTGGCATGATCAGAAACTGGATGTTGTGATAAAGTACAGTGGGGGGAGTTTGACCGGGAATATTTGTAAGAGGTTCAGTAGGACTGGAAATGTACCTTACAATCAGTGGGAATCAAAAAGGTCTATACTCGTTTCTGCCTCAAGAAAAAAGGATGTTTTCCGCATTGTTCATACGCCGGGCAAATACTTGCGCAACAGCACCGATAGTGCGCTGTTAGAAGCGACGCCGGGTATACCTGCCCCAAATCTCCATGCACGACGGCAAGAACAGAAAACCGCTAACTAAGTGCAGTTGGTATATGACACCACCACAAGGGACTGTAGCACCCACAGAACCTGCCTTGTAAACATTTGTATATGCTGTACGATTCTTGCCATTTTTTAACATAAGCAATCCAATTTTTTATTTGTGTTCCATGCGGAGACTAGAATATTGGCTGGGTTAAAGGGATACTGAACCGAAATTTCAAACTCGCAAAATAAGGCCGAGTGGATAGGCGGGAAGCTGCAAAACAAAAAATATCACTCATACGGCGATATATCTAACGGATCGTCGTATTTTTTGGAAAAGAAGTGCGCGATTGAACCCGGCCGACGAGGCCGACGCGACAGAGCACGTCACGATTCCCATTCTCTCTCCTCCTCGCTACGTACCGTCAAGCTGGTGAACCAAAGCGAGGAGGAGAGAAGCGAGGCCGCTTCTCCTCACTCTCAAATTCTCCCGGAGGACAGTTACGTCAAAGAACTCGCTTGATCGCGCCCTTCTTTTTCAAAAGTACGGCCATCCGTTTGAGATATCGATGTACGAGTGATGTTTTAGAGTTCGTAGCGTCCTGTTGAACACTTCTACAGCCTTACTTTGCGAAATCCAAATTTCGGTTCAGTATCCCTTTAAAGGGGCCCTGCAACACCTTTTTGACTGATTTTTAATTTGCACCGATCCTGAGCGCACTGAACGTAGAAACTTAATGAAACTTTTCTTTTCTCAAATTTCGCTTTAGTTTAAAAGTTATAGGCAAATTAGAATTACAAAAACAAGCAAAAAATAACCTCCTTCATGACGTAGTAGGTCCTGGCTTGAGCGGCCGTGAACTAGAGGAGGGATAGTGAGCTCATCGAGCGCTCACGGCTTCCGCACTCCGTGTCGACGGCTCGAGAGGGCGCCACGAAAGCACGTGTTGGATAGGCTGTATGAAGCGGGCGGTCAGGGCGGCTCGCATTGCATTTGCTGCACGATTAAAGACTAATTCGGCATAACACTTCATTGGCCACAAACGACAGCAAACACGGGGTAAATATCAGTTCAGAACGGGAGCCACTTCGCGCTGCCATACCGCCAAATGGCAAAATCGCCAGCAAAGCCGGCGCCGAAGGCCTTCGGAACGCTCGGAACCGGTCGGATCCTCGACCGCAGCGCCGCCGCGTACATCCGGGTTCTTTCTACGCACGCCGTTCGTCAGCGCCTCATCGCACTAGCCCTTTCTAATATGCGCTGTTTTTTCCGCCGCTTGGTGGTGGGTATGTCGACGCGTCATTTCTTGTTTCCGTACTTTATAAACTGCATTTATTTCTTTTCTGATCTCATATACCGAACAAAAACTACTTTCATACATAATTAAAACGGTTCGCGACATTTATATTCTGTATCTCGACTAAAAAAAAAAGATTTTAGCGGTTCTGACCAGTAGTAAGCCCAGGACCGAAGACGTCGGATATCGCGCGCTTTCGCCTACGCGGGTCGCCCTCGTAGGTGGAGGAGGTTTCCGCGTCGTCCGGTTAAAATATGACGCACTGATATTTAGTTACTCTCTCCGTGCCCGCTGGCTTGCCCTAACCCCAAGAGACCTGGAAACCACAAAAAAGGTAGATGCCTAAATATGATTGCAGGGCCCCTTTAAAAGCAGGGAGTTGAACCAGTCATTATTACGGGTCAGTTCGGGTTGCTTTCGTTTTGTTCCGGTTCGTTTCTGGTTCAGTGGTGCTTTTGAAATAACAGTTCGGTTACCGGTTTCACCAAGTGCGAACCAGTACAAATTGGTTCTTGAAAAAACATTTACAGCTCCCAGTCGTTAAAGGAGTTGTGCAACAATTTCAGTGCTTTGCTGAAATAATTTGGGAGTAGGTGTCTCGACCTTTCTGAAGCCAAGAACAAAAACCGCTTTTGCCTACGTGTCCTAGTTTTTATTTTAAAAATGGACACAGATTGAGATTTTCGGCACCTCTCAACTTCTTCAGTATCTTCCGAGTCACGTGTGCTATGATGTCAATGGGGGGGGGGACGTGCGGGCTTTCGGCGAAGCTCTCCCAGTGATGTGATTGCTGCGCCAATTGCGCCAAACTGCGCCAAGGGGCTAGCCTTGCTACATCCTGCTACATTTTGCCAAAATATGGGTAATCCGCGCCAAGCCTGCGCCAAAGGACCAATTTCAGTCGTCTTTCAAAACCGAAACTAAACTGAGTACCGTAATTGAGCATGCGTGTGTTGTGGGGTGCAAGCGGCCGCCGTACACAAAGTAGCCTGCATCAATGGTTTATCCGGTCTTGCATAGTATTCCCGCCGTCTTGCGTTTCACACACTCGTCGTCTCGGGGGTCTCGTCTCGCGTCTTTTTAAAAAAAGAAAGTTTCAACGATAGACGCGGGTGTGTGCGGACGCTCCGGCGCTAGCGTGCCGGGTGCCAGCCATGCCGTTATGCTGTGACACGAAGCCACGTTTTTGCGCGGTAGGAGTTACTTTGTGAGCTGAAGCACTCGCTCCTAAAAGCAACGGCCGTGGGAAAACCAGATTTGGTCCCCGCCTACCAGCCACCGTGGTCGCGCGACGTCGGGTGTTGCCGTCCCCACGTCGCTGCCAATATAGCGCTTTCTAAACTGAAACGTAAGGACCGCCACATGTTCATCAACATTCTTGTTCCTATTTAAATCATACGCTACTACAAAAATCCCTCTTTAACTCAAAGATTTCTGTGTCGAAGTATTCACTAGGTTTCTCTCGATGGGCTTTCTTTCAAAAGGGACCCCGGTACGTGAAAAATCTGCCGCGAAAGAACGTTGAAGAGAAGTGAGCTCAAGCAAAGAAGGCAATGTCTGCATGCTGAACCCGCGCAGCGCGCTTGATTGTCTCGCGTTCAGTCGTTGCACAAAGCGCTCCAAGAACGTTTCGAACCTGCAGCTCGCGATGCCTTGCATCGTTATGCTCAGGTTCTTTTTTCTGTGTGTTTAGCTTGTACCTCTCCTGCCGGCCTGGCGAGCACGTGCCGCTGGACTGTTTTTGTCGTATGCTGGACAGTGACATTTTGCATACACTTTTGGGAACCAGTTGGCAACGGAGCGGAGTGGTGTGGTTTCGGTTCCGATGGAACAGCCGTTGTCTCCGCTCGCGTGACGAAGCACGTGCAACTGCAAGCTTGCCTAAGTTTCCCTCACGGGCATGTGAACATGATTGCACGACAGGGGCACCAGCCGATCGCTGGCAATCCATTTTTTTACGTTCCCATTTGCTTACTTCTGACGAAAATCTGGCGCGTGGGGAACCAGTCAAATGGTGGCCAGCAATTTTTCGGAATTGCTCTGCACCGCCTACATTACTGTACACTTGTGGGACGTCTCAATTTCTCTTTGGAGACATTGAAAGTGGACATTTATTACTAGCCGAAGGTAAAGCGAGGCTTGCAGCAGCCTTGCAGAAATTTTAGAAAAGCAAAATGAAGAGTACCCGCGCTAGTCGTAATGCACCTTTGTCTTGTCCATACGATTTCGCATTGCACTGCAGTAGTTACGTGTTCAATGATTTGAAGGCTGCTTCCATTTATTATATCTAGGGTTCGGATTTTTCGGTTTAAACCGATAAAAACCGATAAAAGTACGCCGAATCTATTTTCGGAAATTCGGTTTTAACCGAAAAAGGTCAGTTTTTAGGTTCGGCATTTTCAATTTTAACTGTTAAAAACCGATAAATGTACGTCAAGTTCATTTTCTAAAATTCAGTTTTAACCGGTAAAGGTCCCTTTGACCTTCCAGTCGTACCGCAGCGCCGTGATGAAAAAGTGGAACAGTGTCTATCGAAACGTGTCCGAATGTATACACGGATGCCATCACGACGTCTTGGTTTAATGTGCGCATCATGGATCAAAACGTGAAGTCCGAAATGGCCCATGACTTCGCCATGTACGAGCGTGTTTTCAAATTCGTAGCAAGAAAAACTGACTTGATGCAAGCTCTGCATGTTGTGTTGTGCTTCAAGACGTTGCACCGCGTCTCCTTTGACGGTCACAATTGGTTGATTGGCCGATTTTGGCTCAGGCAGCGCTTCATCTCCTCAGCCTGTCAGAGTCCGGTGTTAGCGTTGAGAGGGCACTCTCGAAGCTCAGGGCCATATTAACAGGAAAGAGAGAGTGCGGATCAACGAGGAGAACCTGGGAAAGTACATGTGTGTGTACTATTATAAGATCACGTAATCCGGATGTACAGAAGGTGAAGTTCCATGTTTTTGGGGCATAGGCTTCATATCTGGCTTGTTTGTACGTCTGTGTTTTTCTTGTTTGTTTTACAGTTGCACACATTTGCCAATAATATGTCGATCTTTTCAATGTATTTGTGCCGTTATTCTTTGAGTGATTACAAATATCAGAGCTACAAGGATCATCTGATTTAGTGTCCGTTGGTGTTTATTTTATATTCACCGAAAAAAGCCGATTAACTTTTGTGGACATAAATATACACCGAAAAAAACCGAAAATTAGATTTTAAAATAAACACCGAAAAAAGTATGCCGAATTTTGAAAAAATAGAAACCGAAAACGCAGAACCCTAATTATATCATATACCTAGTAAACCTAATGGTGCAATGTTTTCTACTGAGCTGGTCATTTTCAAATAAA